AGGAAGCTGATGATCAAAGTCCAAACCCTCTGGTTCAGGGTTTGGGCAGGAATTTAAAGCGTTTCAGTGGAACACTATGATATGTGGAAACATTGGTGAGGCAAGTTTTATCGGAGGACTTTGGAGCTTGGCCATTTACGGTAAGGAGCACCTACACAGGATCTTCCTGGACAACCAGACCCTCTGCTTCCGAAAGCGTTCTGGTGTTCAAGGTCCGGTTATACCTTGGTCCTTTGGTTCCATGTGTGGGAGTGTAGGGGGTGAAGTGAAGGGTGGTGAAGCAAGGCTTTGGCTCCTGGCTTCTGGAGATCAAAGATCTCTCCCCTGCAGATGCTGTAGCTGCATGGCTTGAAGTTTTGGTCTGTTGTCCCCAAAAAGCAACTTAGTGTTTCATTAAACAGAATAGCAACTTTGAGCTGGTTCTGAGGTCACATGATTACAAGTGTCAGATTTGGTTGGGGGATGTGGGGGCCGTAAACTCATTATTCCTCCAAAAGGTGACCTATACTGCTCCTGGTCCTCCCTAAAAACTTTCTGTGGTAAAAGTTACCAAACTGGTTGAGTTCATTGTACCCTTGTGGGAACCAGAGGGCCAGATCAAGAATTTGGCTTTATTTGAACTTAATTTTGAAGAATAGAGTAACTGTTTTCAACAGGATAATATCCCCAAAGAAATCCCTGAAATATTTGGTAACCTCTAAGAATAGGATATGATATCAATTATGCTCCATATCATTCTATTACCTTATTCTGTTAAAAATTTGATTCATCGCTATCTTAAAAACCCACTGATTATAACTAAGTAGAGTTTATTACAGTAAGTACAGGATGGTTCAATATTATAAAACCTGTCACTATAATTTTACGATATTAACAGATTAAGGAAAAAAGCCACATAATTATCTCCATATGCATAAAAATGCGTTAGATAAAACTGAACATTTACTCATGTTTTTAAAATTTCAAAGAAATAGGAATAGAAGGGAACTATATATCCTATCTAATAAAGACAGAATATTCTAATTGACCATCACATCCTCACAAAGATGGCATCACCCACAGCCAATAAGGAGGGAATTGACTGCCACGACCTCAAAGATGGCAACACCCACAGCCGCAAGACAGTGATGCCCAGGACCCTCAGCCCGCCAGGGTGGCAGGTGCACAGCATGGCTGGGCCCTTCCCCAGGCGGGTCTGGTGGCTCTGTACGCCTGCCTCCAGAATCCCCCAGTCCACTCAGCCCCCCAGCCACTTCTTCCTCCATGTATAGTTCCACCACTAGAAAAGCACTAGTCCTGTCCATTCTGCCCGTTGTTTATGCTTCTACAAAACGTTTTGAACAGAATTTTTTCAAAACACAGGGCTAATGAGAAGGGGGAAAGTTGGTCCAGAGAGGGCTGGCCAGATTATTCAGAGCTTGAATCTGTTTGTGGTGGTCTTTTAAGAAACACAATTGGAAGCAATTCTCCTGTTTACATTCCTCCAACCTGTCTATTACCTTCCCTGTCCAAAGCCCCCATTCCCTTGCTTTGAATTTAAAGGAGCCTCCAGGTTCTTAAAACATTTTTTCTTGACTTTTGTGTAAGTCAAGTTAATTTATTGTTTCACCAACAGCTCTTTACACTTTCGTTTCTGGACTTGTTACATACTATTTTTTTGTGTGTGCCTATAATATTCTCCTCTGTTTTAAGTCTTACGGTCCTTCAAAGCACTAACTACTCTGATCCTCTCTGAGGCCTTTGTGACTACTGGGATATTCACTCATCAATCCTGACTTTGAACTTTACATCACACACCTGTTTCTTCAATGAACAAATGCCAACTTGTATATTTTATATTTTTATGCTTATTTTTCTTCATCTCTTGTGATTTTCTCTTATCCTGTGTCAAGCACATGCTCTCACAATCAGAAGCTTCATTATATTTGTTGTGATAAAGGTCAGAGTTTGTAAAAATTTTTTATATATTTTTTTATTGTTTAAAGTATTACATATGTCTCTTCTCCCCCCCCCCCCCTCCTCTCATCAACCCCTCCCTGGCCAGTCCTACCCCCCAGGACAAACCCCCACTGCCCCAGTGTCTGTGTCCACTGGTGATGCTAATATGCATGCATACAAGTCCTTCAGTTGATCTCTTACAACACTCTCCCATCCTTCCTTCTGAGATTTGACAGTCCATTCAGCGCTGATTCTCTGTCTCTGGATCCATTTTTGTTCATCAGTCTATGTTGTTCATCATATTCCACAAATGATTGAGATCACGTGATATATATCTTTCTCCGACTGGCTTATTTCCTTTAACATAAAGCTCTCCAGTTCCATCCATGCTGTTGCAAATGATAAGAATTCCTTCTTTTTTATAGTAGTATTTCATTGTGTAGATGTAACAGTTTTTTAATCCACTCATCTGGTGATGGGCACTTAGGCTGTTTCCAAATCCTAGCTTTTATAAATTGGGCTGCTATAAACATAGGGGTGCATATATCCTTTCTGACTGGTGCTTCTGATTTCTTGGAATATATTTCTAGGAGTGGGATTACTGAATCAAATAGGAGTTCCATTTTTAGTTTTTTGAGGAAACTCCCATACTGTTCCCCACAGTGGCTGCACCGGTCTGCATTCCCTAGCAATGCAGGAAGGTTCCTTATTCTCCACATCCTTGCCAGCACTTGTTGTTTGTTGATTTGTTGATGATAGCCATTCTGACAGTGTGAGAAAGATGGTATCATATTGTTGTTTTGATTTGCATCTCTCAGATGACTAGTGACTTTGAGCATGTTTTTATGTGTCTCTTGGCTTTCTGTTTGTCCTCTTTTGAAAAGTGTCTATTTAGGTCCTTTGCCCATTTTTTGATTGGATTGTTTATCTTCTTTTTGTTAAGTTGTATGAGTGCCCTGGTTAGTATTTTGTTAGTAAATGTTGGAGATTAAACCCTTATCAGAAATAACATTGACACATTTGTTCTCCCATGCAGTGGGCTTTCTTGTTGTTTTGTTGATGGTTTCTTTTGCTGTGTAGAAGCCTTTAATTTTGATGTAGTCCCATTTGTTTATTTTCTCAAGTTTGTAATTTTTTTAATAAACAAGTTTTTAAAAAATAACTTTTATTTTTCAATTACAGCTGGCATACATTATTACCTTAGTTTCAGGTGAACCATATAGTGATTAGACTTATGAAGCGATCAGTCCGGGAAGTCTAATGCCAGTCTGACACTATACAAAGTTATCACAACAATATTGACTATATTCCATATGCTGTACTGTACAGCCCTATGATTATTTTAATAACTGATAATCTGTACTTCTTAATCCCTTTTCCCTTTTTCACACACACTCCCCAATCTGGAGACTACCCATTTGTTCCTTGTATGAGTTTGGTTTGTTTATTCATTTATTGTTTATTTTTATTTTATCCTCATCTGAGATTATGTGTTTTTAAAATATATATATATTTTATTGATTTTTTACAGAGAGGAAGGGAGAGGGATAGAGAGCCAGAAACATCAATGAAAGAGAAACATCGACCAGCTGCTTCCTGCACGCTCCCTACTGGGTATGTGTCTGTAGCCAAGGTACATGCCCCTCACCGGAATCAAACCTGGGACCCTTCAGTCTGTAGGTGGATTCTCTATCCACTGAGCCAATCGGACAGGGCTGACAATATGTTTTTATTGATGAAAGAGGGAGGGATAGACAGACAGACAGACAAAGAGGTTGGCTGCCTCCAGTACATGCCCGGGCCAAGGATGGGACTGACACCGTAGGTATGTGCCCTGACCTGTAGTCCAGCTGCGACCTTGCAGCCTTTCTGGTGTCTGGGACATGCTCCAACCAACTAAGCAACCGGCTGCGTCTCTGTTTATTTTTTTATTTTTTTTTTTAAATATATTTTATTGATTTTTTACAGAGAGGAAGAGAGAGGGACAGAGAGTTAGAAACATCGATGAGAGTCATCGATCAGCTGCCTCTTGCACACCCCCTGCTGGGGATATGCCCGCAACCAAGGTACATGCCCCTGACCGGAATCGAACCCGGGTCCCTTCAGTCCCCAAGCCGACGCTCTATCCATTGAGCCAAACCGGTCTCGGCTCTCTCTGTTTATTTTTATTCTAGTTTTAAAAACCCCCCAAAACCCCCACCAATCATCCTTGAATAATGCTGATTAAATCAACTGAGTGGCCACTATGTTTAAGGGCAGGTTCTTTTCTAGAAAGCTAGGGCGTGGAAGAAGGCAAAGATATAAAAGGTTCTTGTTCATAAGCCAAAGAAGCTGGTCTTTGCCAATGGTCGCGCTTTCCAGGTTGAACCCACTCAGTTCTTATGTCCTTGTTCATGTTTGAGATTGCCACGTCAGTGTACCCAAAGGGGCAGGTCGGTGGGTCGGTATTGAGTGCCGAACACATTTATATTTTTAATGGGTATGATGAACGCATATATTATATACACAAAGCCAAATACTCTAGAATCATACAATGAGAAGTAACCTCTCTTCCTCATCCTGCCAGCCTCTTATTTTTGTAGCTAGAACGTTTATACGCCTCCGTGGTACAGGCCCACGTTGTGCTAATTTTAGTCGTACCTTTGGAAAAAAAACACACACACACACACACACAGACACAAAAACCACGCAAGTCCCCAAATATTATAACTCCTTTGTCTACGGCTCCAGCAGCTGGCGGTAAAGGCTTAATATAGCGCCCAGCTGTTCATTCCGGTTTCTTTTTTGGTAGCGGCCCTAACCTACGCATTTGCCTGTAGTTTCCATCCCGGTTGTGAGGGGGGTAAACACAAAAAATTAAAAAAAAAGCACAAAAAATAGCAACACAAACACGTCCCGAGCGCCGAGCGCCCAGCGCCAAGCCGGGCGGCAGCGGAAATGCGCGTCCCCGGGTGCGGCTTGCGAGCGCCCGGCACCCCTTCCCCACCTGCCGGGGGCGCGCACTGACCACCGCCGCCCGCGCGGAGGACCCGCCCCTCCCCGGCCCCCATTGGCGGTGGCGGCGAGCCCGGGACGCGCGCCGAAAGGCCCGGATGGGCCGCGGCTTCCGGCGCGGCGCCCTCGGGCGGTAGGGGTCGCCGTTTCGCAGTTTCGGTGCCCCTGGTCCAGCTCGACCCCGCCGGGGGCATGTGCGGGCTTGTGCTTCCAGAAGCAACATGGAGCCGGAAGCCGAGCCTGAGGGGCAGCCCTGAGCCCTCCGGCCGAGGCCCTGCCGCTTCCCAGGTCAGGAGCCTCCTTCTCCGCACACAGTAAGGTCAGCGGCCGGGGCCCGCGGGAGGGCGCTCTGGGTGGAAGGGGGCTGCCACACGCGCCCGGGGAAGGCGCCGGGTCACCTTGGGGAAGCCCGCACCCCCCTCCGGGCGCGGGAAAGCCGGCTCGGCGGGGAGCAGGTCTCCGCCGGGAAGCGCGCGGCAGTGGTGGGCTCGGTGCTGTCGTGGCCGGCCTCCTCCCTGGCGCGCAGGCGGTGTGCCTTTTGGGTGCATTTTGTGGCGGGGGCCGCAGAGCGTGTGGGCTCGCGGAGGTCCTGCTGGAAGGAGGCGGGCTGGTTGCCACCTGGGTGTCAGGCCGCGCGCTCCGGGCGGGCGGGTGGGCGGAGGGCTGCGCGGGCGGCCGGGAGGGGGCGGGGGAGAGGGGGTTGGTCACGTGGGCGGGGCGGGGTCACGTGGGCGGGGGGCGCTGCGGCGCCGGGGGCCGGGCCGGGGGTCATGACAGGTGCGGGTGCCGTGGCCCCGGAAGCGGCGCGGAGTCTGGGCGCGAGTGGGCTGGGTCTCGGGCCGGTTGACTCAGCTGGTGGCCGGGCCGGTCAAGTTGGGACACGTCCCGAGGCCGCCGTCCCGGGAGCTAAGCCCCGACTTGTCTGCAGCCGGGGATTTAAACCGTGACCTTTGCCGGCTGCGCTCACTCTGGCATCAGGCTCGCAGCGCTCGCTCGCTCGCTCGCTCGCTCCCCCCCCAGCGATCCAGGTAAGGACCCGCTTGCAGATAGATACCTTTACTTTTTTTGTAAACGCATCGCTATAGAAAGGTATCGTGTTAAGCATTGATGGTGTTTTATCTTTTTTGTCCCTCCTCTTTAGGCAGATGTGCAACACCAGTATGTCTGTGTCCGCTGATGGTGCTGTGAGCACCTCACAGATTCCAGCTTCTGAGCAAGAGACCCTGGTTGGTATTTTACTTTAAAGTGTAACTTTTAAGGATATTTTTACTTTATGATGTGATCAACTAAATTATGTTGATACCCCACCCGATCATAGCATGGCTCTTTAAAAGAGTGAAATTCTGTGTACATAGCTTACATTCTGCTGCGTGGGCATCGCTGGGTGTGGAATCAGAGTTACTGTAAGAAACAGTCTTTTCTTTGCTCTTTGCCACCCTGGATGTAAAGATGAGTTCCACGGCATGCTTAGGCACGGGTGCTGATGTTCATTACGTGACAGAGGTTTTTTCTGTTTTGACTCGTTAGTATTTAACTTTTTAAGTGGTTCCTAGAAGTCACAAAAGTAATTCATGCATTGGCAGAAATGAAGAAAGTCACAAATGAAAATTCTAGTCTTCTGATTAGTATCCCCAAAAGCAGCTTCGGGGTAGCAAAACTTTGGTTCCCTTCAGTGTAGCTGACTGGCCCCTGGAATACAGGAGTAAATATTTATAAAGTAGATAATTGAAATGGAGACCAACTAAGAGGCAGCATGATATAGTTGGAAGAAAATGGTGGCTTGTAATTGAGGGGCATAAGTGGCAGTCTCAGATCTGCTCTTAATTACCTTGTCACCTTGGTTTGGTTATTTAAATTCTCCATTCTTCAGGAACCTAATCTGTAGACGGAAAAGATTGGTAAAAGGCCCCACACTAAAGGTTTATTTATTTTTCTTGGATTTTGTAATTTAGTTTACAGTAAGCACATAGGGGTATTTCATTTATGGCTAAGTTTGTAAGATAAACAGATGACAGAAATAACTGGAGGGAAAAAAAACATAATTTTCACTGCATTGCCATGGATACCTGTTTTGATGACAACTGGTAATAGTTGAGAAGTCTGACTGTTTGTGTAATAATTTGGTCCCAGCATTTTTTTTCAAACTCCTGAGACAGTCTGGTATTCAGTTTAAATAGTATATTACATTAGTGAAAACATTATGGCTTGTTTTTTGAAGTATAACCTCATGAGATTGTTAAATGCAGTGTCTGCTACCCTTATTGAAATTATGGACATGTTTGCAGTGGGGCTTATAGTTATGTAATAAATTTGGAAGTATAATAGCAACTCTTTTTCATAGGTTAGACCAAAGCCATTGCTTTCGAAGTTGTTAAAATCTGTTGGTGCACAAAAAGACACTTATACTATGAAAGAGGTAAGCTGAACTAAGAGTTAATGAGATAACTAATATCTTACTAGCATTTTGCTGCCTTTTCCTTTCCTAATGTGTAGTACCTAGATATCTGGGCAGTTAAGGTCTGAAAAAGTATTTTTTTTTTTTAAATATATTTTATTGATTTTGTACAGAGAGGAAGGGAGAGAGATAGAGAATTAGAAACATCGTCGATCAGCTGCCTCTTGCACACCCCCTACTGGGGATATACCCGCAACCAAGGTACATGCCCTGGACCGGAATCGAACCCGGGACCCTTCAGTCCCCAAGCCGACGCTCTATCCATTGAGCCAAACCGGTCTCGGCTGAAAAAGTATATTTTAAAGTTTTATTTAAATCAGAAGCAATGTCTCTGCATCCACAGATTAGAAGGAAAAGATTTAAAAGCAACTTTTTATTTTCGATGGGTATTTTCGATGGTTATGAATGTGGTTGCTGGTTTAACCCTCTTCAGATAAATATGATATTGAATATATTTGAAACTAACGTTTAATTTTTATTAATCCTCAGAAATCATATTTCTATTTCAGGTTATATTTTATCTTGGCCAATATATTATGAAGAAGCGATTATATGATGAGAAGCAACAGCATATTGTATATTGTTCGAATGATCTTCTAGGGGATTTGTTTGGAGTGCCAAGTTTCTCTGTGAAAGAACACAGGTAAATTTTTGGACCTTTCAGTCCGCAGGCCGACGCTCTATCCACTGAAGCAAACCGGTTTCGGCGGAAGGCCCATTCTTAAAAGTATTGCACTCTACTTATTGTGCCACTGGCGCTCCTGGAAGGAAGGCCATTCTTGCACAAATCTTCATGCATCGGGCATCTAGTTATATATAAAAGATGCTAAATTTTAATTTCTTAGCAATCCTTACTAATAAGAACCTAAGTAGTCGTCCTGCTGTGATGCCCTCACACTGTCACAAGATGGCCTGCACATAGCGGGCATGCGAAGGTGGGTGGGGCTGGGCTTGATGCTGCGTGCATGGCACAGTGCCTGCCGGGGAGTTCCACCTCCACGAGGCGAGGCCTGCCTGCGGGTCCTGCCTCCCAGCCTTGGATGGTGTGGAGGCGCGACCCCAGGCTCTGGCCTACCTCTGGGGCAGTCCATCGAGGATCCCCTGATGTGTGAACGGGGCCTACCTCTTTGGGATGATTGATTGTGGGGCTCCTGCGCTGTGACAGAGCACAGGTCAGGGTGGAGGATCCCCACACCCCAAGTGCATGAATTTTATACACTGGGTCTCTAGTATAGCATATAGGGTGGGGCAAAAGTAGGTTTATAGTTGTGAGTACAAGAAACACAGTTTATTCTTGTATTATTATTATTTCAGATGTAATTCCTGGCATTAAAGTTACCTTTGACTTGAATTCTGATATGTTGAGAGGTTACATACTAGGGAAATTGCTGACTTAGAAAAAGGATATGAAAAAGAATGTTGACTTGTGAGTTTAAGGAGCTGAATCATCAGTCTGAAGGGTAAAAAGAAATAGTTGGATTTGGCACTTCTTTCTTAACATTGAGAATTAGAAATGATGTCTTTTGACCAAACACATTCTCTAAAATCTTTGGTTTAAAAAAGCACTGGAATGAGTGAAGACTGGAATAAGTGAATTGTCTTCCTATTAGGATGTAAGTTCAGTGAGAGCAGAGATTTGTTATTTATTTATTTATTTATTTATTTATTTATTTATATTCTTTCCTTCCAGTTTATAGAACAGTGATTGGTACATAGTAGGTTCTCAGTCTGTATTTATGAAATGAGTAAATACTGTTTTATCTTCAACACATTTTAAGGTCAAGAAAGAAAAGCCATTAAATGACTGGTCAAGGGTTGATGAAAGTCAAAATTATAATCAAGTTTCTATAATGGTTTTTTTATAACACACTATTTTTTTTAGGTAGTCTATTTCTAAACACAGAGCCAGAAATTTTCTCTTTCAAAATAAATACATATGTTAACCCGCGTTCTGCATTTATACCGGTTCTCTGGGATTGTGTAGTAAAGTCCAAGCAAGGCACATTTCAAGAGATGGAAACATAAAATCTTTGGAACACAGAGACTTTAGTGATCGTAAAAGGTAGCTGTATGTAATCATTCTACAACTCATTATGTGCTTTTTAAGACCTAAAACATTGATATAATATGAATTCAGTGATTTAAAATTTGGTCTTTGTGCACTTAAATATAATAATCTTTTAAAAGCCTGGTTAAGGCCAGTTTGATAAATATACGTTTCTTATTTTTTCTCCCTACAAGGAAAATATACACAATGATCTACAGAAACTTGGTAATAGTCAATCAGGCGGGTAAGTTAATTTTTGGATATCATAAACATATACCATGAAAATATTTTCAGACATTTTGTGTATGTTTAGTCAATTTTGTAATTATGATTCTCTTTAAAAGTTGCTTTAGTAATATGTTTAATTGTAATAAAAGAATATGATAAATTTAATGGGAAGAACTATATATGAACTAAAACAGCAGTTCCCAACCTTCGGACCTCATGGACCACCAGTGGTCCGCAGACCACCGGTTGTCTACTGCGGAACTAAACAACATAACACTAAGGCTCTAATGCAGATTTATGATATGTAAGCCTAAATGTCTTGTTACCTCTGTAGAGAAGTGATCAAACCTGAAATGTATTGAAAGGCTTTGAGAAGTAATATATATATACCTAGGTAGGACCATTTGAAAGGATGGGTATTTTTCTGTGTGTGTGTGTGTTTTTTTTCTGTTTGTTTTTTTACTTTTATAATAGACAAAGCTTTGTTTATCAATTTGTTTAGGCAAGTGATATTGTACTTTCTTGCTTTTAGACGTATTGTTCTTAACAGGTTATTTTTGGGTCACTTACCCTTTAAATAATCTGACAAAAGCAACTGGATTCTCATTCTAGAAAAATATACATATATAGTAGTATGCTGGTAAGTGTTTACTCTCCAGGGGAAAAGGCCTGGTTTATAGTGGTTGCTGATTTCCATGGTGTAAATACTCCCACCATGTCCATTTTTAGGATACAAACCCAGAATTGGGAAGAGAGGTGTGCACAGTCTGGGTTTGAGTGATGGTAGGAGCTGGCTCCAATACACCACAGATTTCCTAAAGCCCATCCTAGAAAAGTCAGTTAAAAACTCTTCTCAAAAAACAAAAACAAAATTACTATTCTATACTTAAGTTTTATTTCATCCCCTTTAGTGCACTGCCTCTGCTCTCTTCTCAAAAAACAAAAACAAAAAACTGTTCTCAGAAGCTTATTTCCCAGGATGAACAGTCCATTCCTTTCTGCTCTTACTATTCTATACTTAAGTTTTATTGATATGTTGCTTTTAATAATTGTTTATATTGCTTTCTTATGTCCTGTTCAGGTCTACATTCTGCGTCACATACACAGTACAGTATTTTATTAATATGGTGTTTAGTAAATGTGTTAATATATACTTATTCTTCCAAAGTTAGGATTTAAGACCCAGAAAAGGGCATCACCATCTATCCTATTTTGAATAGAGGTGATTCGTAGTCTGGTGACTTTGTTTTACAAAGCTCTTTATGAAATCAAATGAAGGCAAATAAACAACTATAGGTAGTGTTTGCAGTTTTCTGAAGTATTGTCTCTGATGTATTCATTTATGTAAATTAATCTTGGTAGGCCCAGCCATTGTGGTTCAGTGGTTGAGCTTCCATCTGTAAACCAGGATGTCAGTCGATTCTTAATCCAGGCACATGCCTGGGTTGCAGGCTCACCCCAGTAGGGGGCGTGCAGGAGGCCGCTGTGACCAATGGTTCTCTGTTATCATTGATGTTTCTCTCCTCGTTCTCTGAAATAAAAAAAATATATTTTTAAAAATTAACCTTGGTAGAATTTTGAAAAGAACAAAAAGTAAATAAACCTCGGTGGATTACTAGCAAAATTTTGTTAATGAGATGGTAGTTTGTAAGTTTCTTATGTTATTTCCATTCTGAGTTTGTTTTAGGTTTCAGTTTAGTGGCATTAGCTTTAGAACTCATATTGTTCTAATCCTTGTCATACGTAGTGCTTCCTTTCTTATTACATCTGCTTTGTAATGCCTGTTATACTAAAAATATGAAATGTACATGTACAAATTAAGTATAATACCTTGCTCATAATATGAAGAAGAAATAAACTGTTATGACATTGTATATAATTTCAAATTGTTAATGCTCAGGCCTGACTTCCCTACTAAGGTGAAAATGTCTCAGGGAGCAGTAAAGTGCATTTGATTAGGATGTTTGGTAATTTCTGTAACTGAAACTGACTTTTTGAGTGCCATGTCTACACATCCAATCAAAAACTAAACTTACCCACCTCAGTGAGCTTCATCCCCTTCAGTGCCCTGTCCTCCCGTCCAAAGCTATTCATCTTCCGCAGTTTCTGTCTTGGTGAATGGCACCACCCATTTATGCACCCAGGGTTGAATCTTGGAGTCCTTAACTCCTTTCTCCCTTTGCCTTGTGTGTCAGACACCCTGGTTTTTATCTTTTTAATTTCTCTGGAATTCATCTTTTTTCCATGGCTTAGTTTAGATTTTAATACTTATTTATATGTATTATTGCAGTTGCTGTCCAATACTGGTTTTCCTGCCTGTGCTCTCTTTTCCTTATATTTTGTCTGAGTGATTTGTCACTCCTTTGCATAAAAAGACCATTGCTCAGTGGTTGATTCCCAGTGGGATGGAAGGGACATATACCTGAGTTGCGGGCTTGATCCCCAATGTGGGGTGTGCAGGAGGCAGCCAATCAATGATTCTCTCTCATCACTGATGTTTCTATCTCTCCCTCCCTCCCTTTTCCTTCTTTTCTGAAATCAATAAAGATTAAAAAAATTATAAAAAGACCATTTAGGGAAGGATTGCTTGTTGGATAAAATACTTGCTGTGCACTGGCAAGTCAGTTTTTAAAAATATTTTTTAGTTTTTAATGTGTATATTTTTTATTGATTCCCAGTAGGAGTTGAGCAAAACCTGGGCATGTGCCTTGATCGGGAATCGAACCATGACCAGGTCCATAGGTTGACTTTCAACCACTGAGCCATGCCAGCCAGGCTGGGAGACTCATGATTAATATTTGTTGAAAGGTTAAATTGTGAGAGCATTTTGTCCTGGATTATATATTGAGTAGCCCTTTCTTAATTTGTGTTTTTCTATTTTTTTTTTTCCACCAGAACCATCAGATTCAGGCACATCTGTGAGTGAAAACAGAGGTCACCTTGAAGGTGGGAGTGATCAAAAGGTAATTTTGAAATGAACTCATTCTAGTATAATTGTTAAAAATAGGAATGTTTATTACAGTGGGGAATTAGCTCTCTGGTGTTACAAGTTAAGTTTGTGGGTCTTTTCCCTTTGAATTCTTAGGACTCTGTACAAGAGCTGCAGGAAGAGAAACCTTCATCTTCAGATTTGGTTTCTAGACCATCTACCTCATCAAGAAGGAGAACAATTAGTGAGACAGGTAATGTGAATATTTAATTGACATTTTCAAACAACTTTTTAGTGTTCATTTTCTTAGGAAATTAATACATTTAGGTTTAATGACATTGTGTTTTTGGTTTAGATGAATTAATTTCTGAGTTTTAGTCTCAGTTTTATGTGACTTTGTAAAAAATTGCTTTCTGAGCAACATTTTTCTGGTTTACTGCAGACACAGTTTACTTTGCCCCCCTGGATTTTATAGTTAGCCAGTTTTCTATTCAAGATAATAGAGGACAAAGATGTAAACTCTGTTTTATTCATTATTCTTAGTCATCTTAGCAGTTGAAGTATTTTAATTGTTTTTAATAAGTGATAAAATATCAGTGAGTTTAAAATGGTAAATAGCGTCTTAGAAATAAAAACAAGATAAAGAAAATAGCTGAACAGTTTTGCAGCTAAAAGATAGTGGAGGAGGAGGCTGTTGCCTAATCAAAAGTCATTATAGCAAAAAATATATGAACCAGGTGAAAGAAGATCAATGAAATAGTTATACCCAGATTAAAATCTTGTATGTGAGCACAGTAAGGGCAGAGGAGTCATTAAATACATGGGACTGGAACAAAAGGTTAGTTATTTTGGGGGGAGAGAATCTGTTTATATTTGTATTTATGCTGAAGTGAATTCCAGATGTACCTTCTAAGTATATTGACTTATGACAGAGAAGTCCTAGATTGTTTAATACAAGTTAGGGATAGATTAAATTGTGATTTAATGGTGATAACATTCTGAAAGAAGCTTAAAAAAGCTTTTAAAAATACTATTCTGCTATTATTCTGGACAGATCCAATGAAAATGTTAACTGTTGAAACGGAGGTTAAATTTCAGAGGAACTGAATTTCAGTACAAATAAACACTCATGACAGCTCAATTTCTAAATAAACTGTGTAGCAATTTAATTAATTTGTTTTTCCTTACATATTCAGAAGAAAACTCAGAGGAATTACCTGGTGAACGTCAAAGAAAGCGCCACAGATCTGATAGTATTTCCTTTTCCTTTGATGAAAGCCTCGCTCTGTGTATGATAAGGGAGATACGCTGTGAAAGAAGCAATAGCAGTGAATCAACAGGGACTTCGTCAAATCCGGTAATCTTCTTGCTTAAGTAAAAAATGACTTACCGGTAATATATACTTGATTTTTAAATCTGATTTTGGAAGTTCTAATAAGCTTTCAGGTGGGATGTACATGTCTGATACACGATTACCACTATACAGTGGTAATTTTTTTATTTTTTATTTTTATGAGTTTGTTTAAGCCAAACTGGTGACATATCCAGGGAGCAAGATCTCAAATGCTCCCACTAAGTTTTTTGTTTCTTTTTTTCTAAATAAACAAGTATAGATCTTCCCCACCCCAATCCCAGATTTAGAGAGAATGGTGTAAGATAGCAGAGTAGCATTGAGGTTTGTTGGTAAAATTAGTACCAATATTAATAGTTACTAATGTCATCCTATATATTAGAGAATCTTGTAGGCTACTGCACCAATAGTAAGTTCAAATAAATTGGGATATAGGGTAGTCTGAGAATTTAGATTTTTTTTTTTTAAATATGGAAACAACCTGGCTGGTGTTGCCCAGTGGTTGAGTATCAACCTATGAACCAGTTCGATATCCAGTCAGGGCACACGCCCAGGTTGTGGGCTCCATCCCTAGTGTGGGACATGCAGCAGGCAGCTGATCAATAATTCTCTCTCATCATTATTTAAAAAATATATATATTTTTTATTAATTTCAGAGAGAAAGGGAGAAGGAAAGAGAAATAGAAACATCAATGTTAAGAGAGAATCATTGATTGGCTGCCTCCTGCACACCCCTTACTGGGGTTCAAGCCTGCAACCTTGACATGCTCTTGACTGGAATCAAACTCAGGACCCTTCAGTCTGTAGGCTGACGCTCTATCCACTGAGCCAAATCAGCTAGGGCTCTCTCTCATTATTGATGTTTCTATGTTTCTGTCTCTCTCCCTCTCCCGTTTTTTCTGAAATCAATAAAAAAATGAAAAAGTAAGGGAACAAAAATTGAAATTTGATTCAGTTAGATATTTTAGTATTCTAAGACAAACTTGTGTTAAGTATTTAGAATAAATTTTTTTTACTATAGTTGTCAGCAAGTAAATTGGCAGAGTCTGAACTTTAAATTTGGGATATGTAGGTCTAGACTTCAAGAAGGTCTGATACAGACGAAACTGGTTTGGCTCAGTGGATAGAGCGTCGGCCTGCAGACTGAAAGGTCCCGGGTTCGATTCCGGTCAGGGGCATGTACCTTGGTTGCCAGTAGGGGGTGTGAAAGAGGCAGCTGATCGATTGTCTCATCGATGTTTCTGACTCTTTATCCCTCTCTCTTCCTCTCTAAAAAATCAATAAAAAAAAAAATATATATTTTTAAAGGAGGAGGTCTGATACAAATGCTATGAAATAGGTGTAATATTGCATGGATGACACATATCAGTACATTTGATTAATAAAAATTCCAAAGTATTAGCCAGGAATAAAATTCTTAAGAGATGTCACTGAAAGAAGTTTTGTAAAAATGTTTTTGTTAGCAATAGTACTTGAAAAATGGAAGATTTTTTTCTTGTCATTTAACATGGTCTTTAAAATGTAATTAAAATTAGAACATTTATTTTTATATGACAGTGCCTCATGATCACTATTCTGGATCCGAATGATCATTTTTTAGTTCTTTAGAATATATAAGGGACTGATCCAATTATGATATTAGCCCTATTCTTGTTGCTTGTATTTGTTTTTCTTTGCCAAAGCACTGATTTTATGGATACAGATGTGAACTTTACAGTTATTATTTAAAAGAGCTGTTACTTATGTAGGCCACTAGATGGCATGAGTAGAACAAGTTTATTCAGTAGATATTTAAGTGTCTTCTATTCCAGGTTTTATTTGGCACTTGAGATACATTAGTCAAGGTAGATATGATCCCTATCCTTATGGGGAGATAGACCGTCTTGGTTCCTGGGTCAACACTCAATTGCTAAGCTCCACTGACTGAGGGATCCAGAATCTTAATTTAGTGTCAGTGTGCAGAATAGAATTAAGGAAAAGTTAGGGGCATAGGGAAGATTTAGGAAGCTGTTAGAGGCCAACAACCAACAAGTAATGTACAATGTCACTCCCTCCTCTTCTCTCCCCCCGACCCCCCTGATTTTAGGATCTTGATGCTGGTGTAAGTGAACCATCAGGTGATTGGTTGGATCAAGATTCGGTTTCAGATCGATTCAGTGTAGAATTTGAAGTTGAGTCTTTGAATTCGGAAGATTATAACCTCAGTGAAGAAGCACAAGAACTCTCAGATGAAGATGATGAGGTAGTTTTATTTTCTCTAATTATATTCTAAATGTTTTTTCATTTATTGACTGATGAGACTGAAAGAATGTATTCAGAATTCACTTGAAATAGTTGAGCTTGATTTATTCAAACTGGAATATTATTATGTGGAATTAAGGCTTTTTAGTTCCTTGTCTGTTTTATATTTTTATAAATATGCCAAGAAGTATGTAGGTCTTAATGAGCCTTGTTATAATAGTCTGCTCATTAAAAATATTTAACTCAGTTCATCTCTATTAATATTAATTTAATTTTTATAAATGTGACGCATGCATGCAGTTATATAAAGTCACATAGTATCTCAAGATCTATTGTCTTACATTTTTAGCTTTTTCATTGTTATTTAATACCTCCATATTTATAAAATAAAATGCTTGTACTGCATATTTTGCTTCATTCATTTTATATATCTTATCTGAGTTTTTACCATATTGGCTCAGGATTTCACTGATCTCCATTTCTCCCCCTTTATACTCACTCATTCCATTTGACTTTTGTCTCAGAATTTCTAATATATAGTAGCGCATGCTATTCATTTAGGACTTACCATTAAACCTTTCTGGTTGAAAAAAATTATGGATTTATTTTATTAGGTATATCAAGTTACTGTGTATCACGCAGGGGAGAGTGATACGGACTCATTTGAAGCTGATCCTGAAATTTCCTTAGCTGTAAGTATACATCTATTTTTAAGGTGTCAAAAAATAACATTAAAATCAAGATTAGAATATATCTAGTCTACTTCCTGATGAAGCAATTTTTATAAAGTTAAAATCTTTAAAATTTTAGTTATTTAAAGTGTTTTGTTCTTTTGTTTGTTGGGTTGGAATATGTTGCTACATTTTTTTAGCTTTTTGAGCTGAAACTTTTAAAGAACATTATTATGAAAGGTGATCCAAGATGGTGGTGGAAAGGTGGAAGGTACACCCAGGACCAAACAATTAAAATATAGAGCAATCAACCTGAATAACCAACTGAAGACCAGCTGAAGAGAAGTCTTATAACCAGGGATTTACAGAAGAGTCCACATTAAGACTCGAGACTCGTAGGAAGTGCAGAGAGCAAAAGGACTGACCCTGCTCCCACAGGCGGCAGTTGAGGTTCCAGGAGAGTATCTCAGCTGCAGGGGGATTCCCTGATAAGTTTAGGTTCTTAAGCCCAAGCCAGGTTCCCCAGCCCAGAGCACCAGAGCCTGGAAGAGCTGCCTATGTGACATCTGGCTGTGAAAAGCAGCGGGATTTCTGTCTGCCAGGGAGAGGCAGGATTCCACTAGAAACAGGCAAATTTTGTTACACGGCTCTCGGACGGGAAATTTTTTCCTCACGTCCAATTGGTGCAGAGCCTTCCTTCCACAGGGCCAAATCTTGTCTTGTTTAGGCCTGATAAACTTTGCTGGCCTCACCCTGCCGACTCCCTGAGGCCCTGCCCACCATGAAGGTGTGCAAGCACCCACAGGTACAGCTAGACTTGGTATACCCTGGGGCATTTGCTAGTGTTCTTAGACCCAGCTTGGCACCATGATTGGACGCATGTAGATATGGAGAACACCTCTCACATTGTCACTCACTAAGAACCTGTTGCATGCAACCTGAGTACTGTTAGAGGCCCTTTCAGTGATAGCCTAACAGGTGGAGGCAGACCTGGAGGTTCCTAGGAACTTTTGCTGACTGGCCCCTAGGTACAGTGCTGGTATAAGTAAGCCTTGGTGCACAGCTTAATTCTTCCCGAGCACGCCTAAGCCCAGCCACAAATTGTGAATCACTTTGCTGCTTTAAACAGGTTGCCCTGAGCCAGTCATTGGCAGCGTCTGACATTGACCTGTACCAGAGTTCGTGCCAAGAGGCCCCAGATCCAGTACACCCAGTGGCCAGTGTCAGACACCATCAGAGTAGGATCCAGTTAGCTTCACAAGCAACATATCCAAGAAAGTTCTCTGAAGGTACCAGATTCTACTGAGGCAAATTCCACTCTGAGTGGTTAGCACCTGCACAGCAGCTCATGCTCTGTGGTCAGGATCGATCCTCACAGCCAGCCTAAGGGTTGACCCCACATATGAATAGGCCAATCAAGAGACAGTTACAACAGGAGGGCTCATGTAATCCATACAAGGGACATTTGTGGAGCACCCAGCTCAGGTAATCAAGGACTCTGCCACAGGATCCCACAAGACACCTAGTAGAGAAGGCCACCCTACCAACACAGTGTCCTAGCAGGTCTACCTAATATGTAGAAGCAAACACAAAGTGGCAGCCATAATGGGGAGACAAACATGCCCCAAATGAAAGAACAGAAGAAATCCCCAGAAAAAAAGCTAAATGGAGGCAAGCAATTTACCAGATACAGAGTTTAAAATGGCTATAAGAATGCACAGGGACTTAGGAGAAGAATGGATGAAATCAATTAAGACTTAACCTAAAAGATAGTAAACATAAAAAGGCACATAGAAACCATAAAAAAGAATCGGTTAGAAATGAAGAATACACTAGAAGAAACAAACAGTAGGTTGGATGATGATGAGGATCAAAGCAAGAAGAAAAACCCCAATCAGAGCAGCAAAAGAACATTATTATAGAAAAATTGTACAGCATACAAAATATCTCAAACGTACTTATCACCAACTTCTAATAGTTACCAACATTTTGCCAATCTTGTTGAATATAAACATTTTGTTATTAGAATATAGTAGGATTTGCATTAAAAAAAAAAAAATCAGGACTTGCCTGGCTGGGATGGCTCAGTGGTTGAGTGTCAATCTTTGAACCAGGAGGTTTGATTCCTGATCAGAGCACATGCCCAAGTTGTGGGCTCGATTCCCATTGTGGGTGTGTGTGGGAGGCAGCTGATCACTGATTTTCATCGTTGATGTTTCCATCCCTTTCCTTTCTGAAATCAATAAAAACATATTTTCTGGAAAGAAGAAATCAGGACTTAGATATTGCATGCTTTACTGGGTTCCTGAGGTATTTTTAACTGAATATTTGCTTTAATTTCTGTTAATGTTGCCTTTTTTGTTTGAATAGGAAATCTCATTTTTCTTTTCTGGGTTGAAACAATTACCCAGATGCAAAAGTAAACTTTTTTGCTATATTCTATATAATAAAAGCCTAATATGCTAAGTGTCCGGTTGACTGGTCAGTTGTTCAATCAAAGCGTAATATGCTAATGATATGGTAAGGCCACTCAACCACTCACTATGATGTGCACTGACCCTCGGGGCAGACGCTCCGACCCATTGGTTAGCTTGCTGCTGGGGTTTGGCTGATGGGGACTGAGCGAGACAGGCCAGACACGCCCTGGAACTCTCCCACAGTCCCTTCCTGACTGGCCAACCTCCTGCATTCCTCCCTGGCCTGATTGTGCGCTGGTGGGGTCCCTCAGCCTGGCCTACACCCTCTTGCAATCTGGGTCCCCTCGGGATTTCAGAGAACTGGTTTCAGCCTGATCCCGCAGGCCAGTCTGCGAGACCCCACTGGTGCATGAATTGGTACATGAGTCTCTAGCTAGAAAATAATTCAGGTATCTAAGCTCATTTGATATCAAGTTGAGTAAAATGTTTCAGACATAGATCTTGCAAATTTTTGGACTTTTTGAAGTATCTCAACTCCTGATATTATAAAACCTTTGTCTTTGGTTTTATCAGTTATAAGAATCCTACTTTAACAACTTGAAAGAACCAAGGTGGGAGAATGAACATTCTCCACCCTTCTTGCTAATGTATTATGTCATTTGTTAGGCAATTTAGAAATGGTACATTATTCATGGCAAGATAGGCAGGACCTCTGATGGCAACTGTTACGTATACAGGGTCCTCAGGGAAAACCATGCTTCAGTTAAGAGAGGGAGAGAAGGATATGTTTAGTGAAGAGGCTGAAGATGGAAAGTTTTGGGTAATAAGTTAGGATAAAGAAAAAACAGTGAGCAGTTACAGAGTGAGAACACAGGAAAGGATAAACAAGTATAAAAGGCATACATTTTGGATAGTGACAGTGATAGATTTTAGCTAACTGATTATTAAAGAATGTTTCCACATTGCTTTTGTGGGTGAAGTTAGGGAACACTCAGCTGCGCCCTGAGTTCTAGAGCACTGCTGAGGGAGTCCATGGCAGATTGACAGAGCTTCATCTATATTGATGGGTGGACTCTGGCACAGTATCCTGGATTGAGCCTTTAAGGGAGTGGAGTGATTACAAGTCTCATTCCAGATGGTAATTGATGCCGTGGCCCTTGTTTCAACTCAGAACCAACTTTGTATCTGTGTCCTCCAACAGATAATTTGAGGTGCATGGTCAAGAGGTTAGCTGGGAAAAAAAAAGTACTTAAAAATCTCATACTTGAGGAAAGACTGTTTAAATATTGAATGTTTTCTATTAAACATGAAATGCTGAAAATTAGGCCTTGTGATACATTTTACCTAGACATATTAAAGTTAGTGTTAAAATGACTAGTCATTAGAGGGTAACAGATTGTCTTATTTCATTGAAGGACTATTGGAAGTGTACTTCATGCAATGAAATGAATCCTCCCCTGCCATCACATTGCAACAGATGTTGGGCCCTTCGTGAGAATTGGCTTCCTGAAGACAAAGGGAAAGAAAAAGGAAAAGGAAGCATGCCTGAGGAAACCAAACTAGAAAACTCAACACAAGTAGAAGAGGGCTTTGATGTCCCTGATTGTAAAAAAAGTACAGTGAATGATTCCCAAGAATCATGTTTTGAGGAAAATCATGAAGAGATCACCCAAGCCTCCCAATCCCAAGAAAGTGAGGACTATTCTCAGCCATCAACTTCTGGTAGCATCATTTATAGCAGCCAAGAAGATGTCAAAGAGTATGAGAGGGAAGAAACACAAGACAAAGAAAGTGTGGAATCTAATTTTCCCAATAATGCCATTGAACCTTGTGTGATTTGCCAAGGCCGACCTAAAAATGGTTGCATCGTCCATGGCAAAACAGGACATCTTATGGCATGCTTTACGTGTGCAAAAAAGCTAAAAAAAAGAAATAAGCCCTGTCCAGTGTGTAGACAACCAATTCAAATGATTGTGCTAACTTATTTCTCCTAGTTGACCTACCTATAAAAGTAGAATTATATAATAAAGAGGTAATATGCAAATGGTCATTACGCCGTAACACAGGGCAGCGAGCTACAAGTGTGGAGAGCTACAGGAGGGTGAGGCAGCAAGCTACCTGTGGTGGAGAACTGAGCGGTGGTGGGCCGCAGCCACCTGAGGCAAGCAGCATCGAGCTACTCACACATGGATTTGTGCACAGGACCACTAGTATAATTCTAACTATATAACTAAAAATTTAGAGTGAAATATTTTTTTACATGTATAAAAACAAATTATAGTACATGTAGGTTTGTTTTGTGTAATTTCTCTACTTTGCAAGTGGGAAAATTTCACTTCTGTTTATATTTTATATTTAAGTTTTAATGTAATTTTAACTGAATATATAGCTCATTCTTTACCCTTGGCCTTCATTTTAATAATAATTTCTTTCTCTTAAATGAGAAGTTTCTGAATTAGAAATAGTGAATTGTCCTGGAAGGGATGTAGCCTGGACGCAGGAAGGAGAGTTAAGGTTAACTAGCCACGTGCCATTTGTCGGCATGAAAAGTCCCTATTGTAATTTCTTTGCGTCATCTACAAAACTACATTTTTGAGGCCAAGAACTTCTGGGATACACTTATAGGTGCTCAGTAAGAATTTATTTATTTATTAATCTTTATTGTTCAGATTATTACATATGTTCCCCCACCCCATAGCTTCCTCCCATCCGGTTCCCACCCAACCCCAGGCCCTTGTCCCCACACTGTCCTTGTCCATAGGTATAAGATCTTTGTCCATTCTCTTCTGTACCCCCACACCCCCTTCCCCCCCAAGAATTGTCAGTCTGCTCCCTTTCCATGCCCCTGATTATATTAAACTCACTAGTTTATTCTGTTCATCAGATTTTTATTCACTTGATTTTTAGATTCACTTGTTGATAAATATGTATTTGCTGTCACTTTGTTCATAATTTTTTATCTTTACCTTTTTCTTCTTCCTCTTAAGGAATATCCTTCAACATTTCATATAATACTGGTTTGGTGCTGGTGAACTCCTTTAGCTTTTTCTTGTCTGTGAAGCTCTTTATCTGACCTTCAATTCTAAATGATAGCCTTGCTGGGAAGGGTAATCTTGGTTGTAGGTTCTTGCTATTCATCACTTTGAATATTTATTGTCACTCCCTTTTGGCCTGCATAGTTTCTATTGAGAAATCAGCTGACAGTCGTGTGGGTATTCCCTTATATGTAACTTTTTCTCTTGCTGCTTTTAAGATTCTCTCTTTGTTTTTTGGTCTTGGCATTTTAATTATGATGTTTCTTGGTGTGGTCCTCTTTGGATTCCTCTTGTTTGGGATTCTCTGCTTCCTGGACTTGTAAGTCTATTTCAGCAGGTAGGGGAAGTTTTCTGTCATTATTTCTTCAAATAGGTTTTTAATATTTTGCGCTCTCTTCTGGCAACCCCATAATTTGGATGTTGGTACGTTTGAAGTTGTCCCAGAGGCTCCTTACACTATCTTCATATTTTTTTATTTTATTTTTCGTTTTGCTCCCAGTTGAATGTATTTTTCTTTCTCATATTTCAAATGTTTGACTTGATTCTTGGGATCTTCTAGTCTACTGTTGAATCTCTGTATATTATTATTTCAGCACAGTTTGGGTGGGGTTATTAATTGGGTGGGGTTATAAATTGGGTGGGGCAGGGTCTCGGAATCACTAAGGCGGAGCAACAGCTATGATTGTCAGTCAGCCTGCACCAGAGTAGTCCCAGTGCAAGAACAATGACCGCCGTGAGCACCTCCATCTGAAAGAAAGCTGCCCTTGTGTTCATGCCCCAATGCCAAACAGTCCAGTTTGTCCCCATGTGAGTCTGGGTCCCCCAGAGACTTGCCCGGAACTGGAGTTCAGAGCAAGCGGGAGCTTGTATCTCCCTCCCAATTAAAAAAGCAGCACATCTGGGTGCCAGCCGGTTCCATGCCTCCGCACCTCCTACCAGACTTGTGCTTTCTTTAAAGCTCTACAGCAGCGGTTCTCAACCTGTGGGTTCCACAGGTTGAGAACTGCCAGCTGGATCACCTAAGACCGGAAAACAGATATTTACATTATGATTCATAATAGTAGCAAAATTAACAGTTACGAAGTAGCAACAAAAATAATTTTATGCTTGGGGGTCACCACAACATGAGGTACTATATTAAAGGGTCATGGCATTAGAAAGGTTGAGAATCACTGGTCTAGGATATTACCAACTTACAATTATATATAATAGAGAATTTTTTTTTTAATATTTACAAGTGATGCTTTACAAGGACAAATGTCCAAAGCATTAGTACTCAGAAGTGTTGAATATATTAAATTGTTAAATGGACTATAAACAAGATCTAATAAATACCAACAGAAAATAGAACAAGAGTAGTATGAAGTGACAAGCAGGTAGAAAACCCCATGTAGGTAATGTACTCGGAATGATAGCTTTAAAAATATTGTTAGGCCGAGACCGGTTTGACTCAGTGGATGGAGCGTCGGTCTGTGGACTGAAGGGTCGCAGGTTTGATTCCAGTCAGGGGCAAGTACCTTGGTTGCGGGCACATCCCCAGTGGGGGGTGTGCAAGAGGCAGCTGATTGATGATTCTCTTTCATCGATGTTTCTAACTATCCCTCTCTTCCACTCTGTAAAAAATCAATAAAATATATTTTTAAAAAATATTGTTAGAATAATGCTATTTGGAATAAGAGAACCATAATAGTTCAATTTTTCCATTACTGTCAGGTGAATTTTATTCATTTCTTGGCTCAATTTTAGGACTCTTGTGTGTTTTTGATTCACACCCGAACCCAAGCCACCCTCAAATTAGGCCTTTCTTCAAGAATACGGTAATATCTGCATAAATTGACCACTTCCTTTGGTCTCCTCCATTTTTTGGTTCATTTATGGAAAAAAAACTTTAATTTCATTCCTTGATGGATATTAAATGTTATGCCTGATTATTTTAGACTTTTAGCGTTCTATGAAACAGGTGCTTTCTTTTCACCATAATCACCATTTTTAGTGCAACAAAATTTGTTTGCATCCTGACTTCCAAGAGTTTTAATTTTCATTCTGTAGAATGAGAAGAGCTAAGTTCTAATAGCAGTTGTGCTACTTGGTCAGTGCCCTCAGAATTAGAGATAATAAGTGTACAATAAATCCTAGGATGGGATCTGGCAGGTAGTAAGACTTCCAATAAATCACAGTTGTTTAATTGTATTGTATCCATTCATGACCATTATTTCCAAAACTCAGCTGAGTTAACCCTATCTTTTTTTCCCTGCGTTGTTTCAGCTCGGTGCTTGTCACATTCGCTGACATGTTGCTTTGTACTCTCCCACAGCAGATGAATGTAACATCCTTTCATGTCACCTTCCCCCAGGTGCCTAGTCTATGCATTATATGATAGTAGGCACTCATTAAAGAATACTAATTGGCAAGGAAAGCCACTAAGCAGTTTTTCCTAGTTTACACTAGGAAAAAAAAAACAAAAAAAACACAATTTACAAAAATTCCTGAAAATAGTGATCTTTATTTTTTAAATATATTTTTATTTTTTATATTTTATTGATTTTTTACAGAGAGTAAGGGAGAGAGATAGAAACATCGATGAGAGAAACATCGATTAGCTCCCTCCTGCACACCTAATAGGGATGTGCCCGCAATCAAGGTACATACCCAACTGGAATTGAACCCAGGACCCTTCAGTCTGCAGGCTGATGCTCTATCCACTGAGCCAAACCAGTTAGGGCTAAATATATTTTTATTGATTTCAGAGAGGAAGAGATAGAAACATCAATGGTAAGTCATTGATCGGCCGCCTCCTACACACTCCCTACTGGGGATCGAGCCTACAACCTGGTCATGTACCCTGCTGGGGAATGGAACTGTGACCTCCTGGTACATGGGTCAAAGCTCAACCATGGAGCAACACCAGCCGGAAACAGTAATCTTTAAAAGTCGGTATGGTGTCAGATTTATAACAATTGAGAAAGCTTTTCTTTTCAATTTTATATCTTTATTGTTGATAGTATTACAGATATCTCCCTTTTCCCTCCAATGCCCCCCTTCACTTGGTTCCTACCCCACCCTAGGCCTTCACCACCCTAGTGTCTGTGTCCATAGATAAGATCTTTGGTTAACTCTTCCCACACCCCACCCACCCACCTGCAGCTCCCTCTCCTCTGAGATTCATCAGTCTGTTCTATGCTTTCATTTTATTCACCAGTTTATTTTGTTCATTAAATTTCTTGTTCATTTGATTTTAGATTCAATTGTTGACATGTATTTGTTGCCATTTTGCTCACATTTTTTATCTTCATCTTTCTCTTAAAGAATATCCTTCAACATTTTATGTTTGGTGGTGATGAACTTTAACTTTTCCTTGTTGAATCTCAATTCTAAATGAGAGCTTAGCCAGGTAGAGTAATCTTGGTTGTAAGTACTTACTACTTGTCAATTTGAATATTTATTTTTTTAAATATATATTTTATTGATTTTTTACAGAAAGGAAGGGAGAGAGATAGAGAGCTAGAAACTTCGATGAGAGAGAAACATCAACCAGCTGCCTCTTGCACACCCCCTACCGGGGATGTGCCCGCAACCAACGTACATGCCCCTGACCGGAATCGAACCTGGGACCTTGCAGTCCGCAGACCGACGCTCTACCACTGAGTTAAACCGGTTTCGGCCAATTTGAATATTTCTGACCACTTTTGACCTGCAAAGTTTCTGTTGAGAAATCAGCTGACAGTTGTATGGGCACTCCCTTATAGGTAACCAACTCCTTTTCTTTTTTATTTATTTTTATTATTTTTAAAAAATATATTTTATTGATTTTTTTTTTTCAGAGAGGAAGGGAGAGACATAGGGAGTTAGAAACATCAATGAGAGAGGATCCAAGATGGCTGCGCCCTGGTGAACACCTAGCCACAGCCGCACACAACAATTTCAATAAAATACAACTAAAATATAAAACGGACATTGCCCAGAACTACAGGAAGTTGACTGACTGGAAATTCTACAGCGAGAAGCAAGGAGAAAACCAGAAGGAGGTGCGGAGGAGCTGGAAAAGCCCAAGGTACGGAGACGCGGCGCAGAGAGGATGGAGCCGGAGAGGAGGGAGGCCGAGTGCCTGGCGGGCATTCCCAAGTGGGAAGGAGATAAAACTCTGACTGTGCTGGGCCCCCGACTGCTCTGAACCCCAGTTCTAGGCCAGACCCCGGGGACTCAGGCTCAGCCTTAGGGAGCCGGGCTGTAAGGCGGAACCCCGGGGAGAGGCGAAAGGGCGTCCCGGAGGTGGCGCGCATACTGTGCGCAGAGAAGGGATGGTCGGCTGTGCCGCGGGAGTGCCCGGGCGGGAAGGAAACTGGGGCTCCAGACTGCTCTGAACGCCACCTCCAACTCCACTTCCAACTGAACTGAACCCCAATACCGGGCTCATTGGGGGAGAGCATAGACTGTTTGGCAGCAGGCGAAAATCGAGGGCACCTTTCTCTCAGAGGCGCCGGCAGGGAGCACTGAAGGACCCACATAGGGCGGGGCTGACAGAAGCCAAAGCTGCAGGCTCCACCCTGAAACCCCGTCCCATCTGTAACTGCGAAATGCGACAACGAAATAGATCACAAACGAAAAAAACGGAGGACAAAA